GAGGTGTTTGCCATTTTTATGCCCACATATGTACATACGTACGAAACTAAATGCTGTAAAAATTTTTCGAAAATTTTCCTCCTGATTTAATTGATAAAAAAAAGCACATCTTCTTTAACACTACATTGTTTAATGTAGGAATTATAGGCGAATTTGAAGCCGGTAATTTGAAGGACTTTAAAATTGGGGTATGTTTAAGCATACATATTTGTTTGATGGTGATGAATTATTTCTTTATAAACCTTTACTAAATGTGTTTGTTAAAAACCCTTACCTATGTAAATTATTTAAAAGGTTAATGGCATACAAAATGTATCAAACGGATCTTTACCCGCATATTATTTCTCAATCACACATATAAAATACGCAATATTTGTTATTATTTTCATACAAATATATACAATTTTACGATTTTCAAATGTAACGACCAAATGTCAGATACAAACGAACGAACAGTACATACATATGTATGTATGGCATACAAACATATATGTATAGGGGCTGGGGTTACACATGCGCTTTAAAAAAAGTTGTTCCATAACTAGGATGGAAAATGGTATCATTTGAATATTAACTATACCTCTTTTTGCCTATTTTGTTATAAAAAAGTAATAAAAATTATAACGAAATAAGAAATTTTGAATGTAGAAATCGACAATACATAGTTATTAATAACATTAACCCAAGCTGTTTATGTGATATGTCACAGCACAACTAGAACATTTTTTTGGGAAGCATAGATGCATCTATGGAATTTTTGAATATGATTAAGTTTTGAAATACAATACTTGTATTTAGTTTTCCAACCCTGTTGGAGACATAAACATTACTGTTTCATTTCAAGTATTTATTTACCCGCAAAAGGTAATCTAAGGTATTCTTCAACCATCCATATGTATGAACTCACTGGTATGTAACCAAAAACAAAATATCCAACCATTCTAGTCATTGTGTCTCATGTTAGTTTGTCGTACATACTACTGTGATTAAATCACAATCTCAAAGGGAGGTTTTTCTTACTTTTTTTGTTATTTAACTATCTTAAGATAATAAAGTATTACGTCGTCGTCTGTCCTTAGTAAGGTATTGTTTTTCTTTTATTATCCTGTATGTATTTTTTATAAGAAGACAATTGCGTTTTACTTTTTGAACAGCTGAGCAATAATTTCTCTATGATTTGTATGGTAGCGATAGTTGTAAAAATTATGTGTGTGTATTTTTTTCTTTAGAAAATATTTGGTACCTTTTTTGCACACCTTGACGTGTTTTTCATTATCCTTTTGTAACGTATAATTGTCGACCGTAACTTTGTTTTTATAAAATCTTTTCTATTTTTAAAATCTTTATATTTGACTTACGGTTACAAAATACATATAGATAGGTACATACAGACATATACATACATATGTATGTATTGAAAGTGTAAAAAACCTTCAATAGAAATTGGAGTACATAATCAATTAAACCTTAACAATTAGTAGGAACGGGGCCCGGTGTTAAAAAGATAAATGTCGTAATAGTAAACTTAAAATGCAGATGTATTGAAGGAAATTTCGATTATTTTACTTCCTAAATAAATAATTATCAAAATTTGAATACTTATTCTCAGTTAAAAATGACAGCCTGTAAAAAAATGCTTCCTTCTAACATAAAATTTATGATTACATAATGACAATAATAGAGAATAAATAAATAAAGTTAGGGTAATGAATCTTGTTTTCAAAAAAGTGCAAGCTAACTAACAAATTTTATAAGAAATTTATATATTTGACTTAGTACTTTTTCTGATCATTAATTTTATTATTAATATTATTATTTTTCGATACTGTATACCTATAGGATTTCTTTTAAAATAACATTAAATACATAATTATTTCATTTTCAAACATAAAACTTCTGACTTGAATTAAGTGCCAAAATAGCCCCCTTCTTTTAAAAAAAATAGATCTTTTAAAATTTTCCTAATTAAACTCGTTGCAGGCGCTAGAAGAGCACTTTAATGAAATGCAACTTTTCGGAAGTTTTCAGTTAAAACGGATATTAGAAATAAAAAATATCTAAATATGTTAATCACATAAAAGAATATTTATGTTTAGAATTTTCTTTTAAAATCGGGCTCAGATTTTTATGATACATTTGACATCAGTCAGGCACAAGGCAGCGTGGCCGAGCGGTCTAAGGCGCTGGTTTTAGGCACCAGTCCGAAAGGGCGTGGGTTCGAATCCCACCGCTGTCACAAGTTTTTTTTATTTTTTCTTAATTTTAACTAATATTATCAATTATATAAATAGTATCTTCTGGAACTTTCAATCATTATGTTTTGTTTATACAAATAAAAATTTTGGATTCGTTTTACAAATTTATTCATTATTTACACTGCATTATCGGCAAGAATTTTATACACCCTTATTAATCAAAAGAACTGCTTTATCTAATGAAAGGTGGTTGTCACAGTGATGGCACGCAAAATATAGGAAAATAAATAATATAATTTTCTTGTGATAAAATAATCGAATAATCAAAAAATCGTAAAAAGTTATCTATAAAAATGTTGCAGATTTTTTAAAATTAATATATAAAAATTCGAGAACTCTTCACAAAAAAATTTATAACGTATGTATAACGTTTTTTTATTAATTACTACAAAAAGTTGACTTTGGCAATATATTGTTGACAGTTAAAAAAATATATATACATATCTACAATGAACTCATAAAGTCGATTTATGTATGTGCGTCGGAAATCGACTTTCAAAAACATAATGTTCAAAAAAATTTTTAAGAATCATTCAAAAAATTATAAATTAAAACAAAAAATCAACACTATTGTGTCGTGGTACTTTTTTCCACCCGATGGTATCATCACTATTATACTAGTGTTTGACAGATGATTCTATTTAGAATTTTTTTATCGATTCATTTTGTTTTGTGTGTTTGTATTTTTATACGTGGTGTCTGATAAAAGCGGCTGGATTGTTTTAATTTTAATAAGAAAATAGCAAAAGAAAAACTAGTTTTGCAAAAATAGTTATTAAATATAAATGGTTATGGAAAAAATATAAATAGTCCACAATATCGCACTGCAAAATACATTAAAAAAGAAGGTAAATTGAAAAAATAACTTGAAAAACAAGACACATTTACAAAAACAAAATAAATATTTGTTGTTTTTCTTATTAGAATTACTTAACAGTGCGCTGTTAAATGAGCTGGTTAAAATAATGTTATACTAAAAAAAAGAATAAAGTAAACAAACCAACAAAAAATAGGTTATTTATAATTCTTAAAAAAAAGAATGATAAAATAAAAAGAAATAAAATTAACAAGATAAAAAATATGGAGTTGAGCTTTAATTAAAACTTTTAAATAAAACGTAATAGAAATTATAAGTATGTTTTGCAGAAATTTTGATGCAGTTTTAGAACACAAAAATATCTTTACACATTTGATACCTATACGAATTTCCTGTTTCCGTTATTCACAGGTATTTGATTGCGCTATAATTTTGAAAGACTACGGTAATATTAGTGTCAACGCCCAGATATCCGGGTATATACATATATAGGCACAAATCGATCTTCTAAAGCCATTCACAATTTTACATGAAATTTGGAAAGGGATAAACCACAGGCACTGTACTTGCATTTTCTCCGTAACTGTAAATATCGTGGGTCAAATAATGACACTTTGTTAATATGAAAAATTTCCGATTAATAAATTTAAAATATTGTTTATAGTAAATATCGTAAAATTTGAAGTAATTGCCGCGGGAACTTTTTTAATACTCGGGCAAAAGTGATACTTTTTTATACTCGATATGAAATGGATTTAAAAATTTCAAATTGGCCATATTCTCAGTACATATTACTCATTTACTACAAGACTGACATATGTAACTCCAGAAATAATTATTTCTTCTAAAATGTCTGTTATTTTCGGTGAAATGGATTTAAAAATTTCAAATTGGCCATATTCTCAGTACATATTGCTCATTTACTACAAGACTGACATATGTAACTCCAGAAATAATTATTTCTTCTAAAATGTCTGTTATTTTCGGTGTAAGAGCAAACTAAAATTCATATTTTGACGAATATTTGATAAGAAAATATTTCATTTAGATTTATATAGAGTATCATATTAACATCTACAATCTAAATCAGATCCCATTATTAGTTTAAAAGTTATTTAAGAAATACATATGTATGTCATAAAATACTCAATGTTATACGTTAGATAGTTATATCAATCTTGTAGGAAATGTGCGATATATTTTATTCTTAACATCACAGCAACTAAATTTTAAGAATATTTTTCTATAAAATTCTATATTTCTATAAAATTTCTTAAAAAATGCATAAATTTTAAACCTAATTTTTGGGAATGTACATTTAAGCTTCATACATACATATATCAACTACCAACATATATGGATATTAAAAACACACATAAGTACATATATCTCTTATATACGACAAGGCATAATCCAAAAAAAAGTCATATCGAGAAAATATTTTTGAATGTTTAATAATATTTTACTATTTTTTTAATAACTTTTAAGCACAGCAAGGGATTTGACGAATTAAACAAGATTCTGATAGTAGAGTTTAATATGCTTCTTATTTAAATTAAATATTAATTTTTGTTTATCTAATTTTCGTGAATACATAAGTTTTAGTTTTTACATATTTGAAATTTGATAAATCTATATAAAAGATGCTAGTATGACTTATGTATGCTTTTCAAATATTCCACTATTAAAATATCTCATAAAAACTAAATATTGATAGAGTTTGAAATATAGACCTTAATAAACAGGATTTTTTCTTATTTGTTCAATTTAAATGAAATATATCCAGATTTACCTGTAATTAATAAACTGTACACGTATGTTATAACTTATTCAGGGACATCAAGATTTTTTGCTAAAAAACTTCTTCATTCTTTACAGAGCCTGTATAAAAAACAGAAACAAAGAAACTATATGAAATCTCTTTCCCCTAAAGAAATCTAGCCAACCAATTGCATTCATTTTTAAGTGAATATACTAGTAAAATAAAAACAATAAATAAACGCAGAAAAAACAGAAACCAACAGAAAGAAAAAACTCCATAGTGTTGTAGGTTTTATACAAGTTTAAATAACTAGACCTGTTGATATTTGAATTGTTTATTTGCTTGTTTCTGCTACTACTACTACTCGCTTACTAAGAAGAGACCTAAAAGCAAAACAACCAACTTGTATACGTTTCAGTTTGAGCGCGCTTGTCAAAGCGTACGGTTGTTTTGAAAAAGCCTCCAAATTTATAAGCAAAAATACTAGCACTTTAAGCTAGTTTGCTTTTATTTAAATATCAACTATAACTCTTGCTTAATTTCCAATTGATTAGACATGACTGATTACGTTGAATTGCACAAACGTCTGACGCAAGTTGGCCAGGAGCATTTGCTCAAATTTTGGGAAGAATTATCGGAGACAGAACGTGCACAGCTAAAGTCTGATATAGCTGAACTAAATTTGGATGAATTGAAGTTATATTTTGATCGTGCCACAACTTCATTAACACAAAATGGTTTAAAACTGGACGATCGTTTGCAACCCATACCAGAATCTAAGGTTATTAGTATTGCCCGTTCCTCTGAAGAGACTTTGAATGGATATCGTGATGAAGGTTTAAAGCAAATTTCTTTGGGACATGTAGCCGTTTTACTTATGGCAGGTGGACAAGGTAAGTGCATTCTGTTTAAAATATAATTACTGTTTCTTTTTTTCTTAAATTGTAAGTTCAATGAACTTTATTGTTGTACAATTTGTTTGTACATACATAACAATATTGTGCTTGTAATAAGTATTTTTGAATATGTAGGTGTGTAATGACTTAAATAATTTTCAAAACCACATTCTGAGTGGTTTTGGTATGGTTGCTTTCAAAATCATATATTCAAATGATTTGTATGAATATTTTTACTTTCAAGTCACGCCTCAATTGAGTAACCAACCATTCCCTATTTAACGGTATTTAATTATTTGAGCAATCTGTGGCTGGTATGCAACATATACAATTCTTATCTTAAAGTCCCTTTCTAAAAGCCTTGAACCTATCGCTGCACTATATTATTTAAGTGTTTTACCAGTTACATACAAAAAATGCTGTGTATATTTGTATTTATTTAGTGTTTTGATTACTACACTATAACATTTTCTGTGTATTTTATTTGTCTTTGTTTATTTTTAATTTCTTTTAGAGTTTTCATAATTATCTTACTTATTGCTCACAACAATGCCAACAGCATATGATAACTATTATTATAAAACTCTTGTTTGTCTGTAATTTACACTGTTCGAATTTTTTTAATATAATTTCTAGAGTTAATACTTTAGTTAACACATGTATGTATGTATTTTAATTAGGGTCGCACCAAAATAAAAATGTCGCATGTTCCCAACTAAAATAAAATATTTTTTCTTTATATATTTGGGATCAACAAAATACTAAATTGCAATAACAAATATTTTAGAAATTATTATAAAACTCAATATTTTATTAATTTTTCCATTAAAATAAATAACAATAAAAGTGAGTTCTATTTTGTGTTACTTCTTCGGTTGAAAACAAGTTTTAAAGGTCAGATAAAGCTGAAATTTATCCAAAAAATTTTGCATTTAAATAACTCTGATTGATATTTAAAACTTGTCAAACCATTAACTTTTTGTTTTGGAAACATGTTTTCTTATACATATCCACACTATATATAGATAAAGTAAATAATTATTATGTAGATATGTTTTTATTTACGTCAATATGCATAAATTACTTTATTATCATCCGTTTTGTTTATATATTTTTAGGAACCAGATTGGGTTTTGCTCATCCTAAAGGCATGTATGACGTTGGTTTACAATCCCACAAAACTCTATTTCGCCTACAAGCTGAACGTATTTTGAAATTGGAGGAATTGGCCTTTGAGGCAACTGGCAAAAAGGGTGTCATTACTTGGTATATAATGACTTCAGAACACACTATACAACCAACTTATGACTACTTTGTGGCCAATAACTACTTTGGTTTGAAGAAGGAAAATGTTGTACTGTTTCAACAAGGTTCATTGCCCTGTTTCGAATACGATGGTAAAATTATATTGGATCAAAAGCATCGCATTGCGAGAGCTCCTGATGGCAATGGAGGCATCTATCGCGCTATGAAACAACAAGGCGTATTAGATGATTTGTCTAAAAGGGGAGTCTTGTATTTGCATGCCCACAGTGTAGACAATATATTGATTAAGGTGGCCGATCCCATATTTATTGGTTATTGTGTTCAAGAAAATGCTGACTGTGCTGCTAAAGTAGTGGAAAAATCCTCACCCACCGAGGCTGTGGGTGTAGTAGCAATTGTGGATGGCAAATACCAAGTAGTGGAGTACAGCGAAATATCTGCCAAAACTGCCGAAATGCGTAACTCAGATGGTCGTCTCACTTTTAATGCCGGCAATATTTGCAATCACTTTTTCTCAACTGCGTTCTTACAGAAAATCGCCAGTACTTTTGAGCAGGAACTCAAATTGCATGTTGCCAAAAAGAAGATACCATTTGTAGACAACTCAGGCAAACGGATTACTCCAGAAAAGCCAAATGGCATTAAAATTGAAAAATTCGTATTCGATGTCTTTGAATTTACACAAAAATTCGTCGCTATGGAAGTGCCCCGAGATGAGGAGTTTAGTGCTTTAAAGAATGCCGATTCAGCGGGCAAAGATTGTCCCTCGACAGCCAAAGCTGATCTTTATCGTTTGCATAAGAAATATATTGAGGCAGCTGGTGGTCTGGTTCATGGCGATGAATGCGAAATATCCCCATTTGTTAGTTATGCCGGTGAAAACTTGTCTCCTTTGGTACAAGGCAAATCGTTTACAACCCCTTTATATTTGCGCAGTAATCGTGACAATGAAAATGGTCATTTGTAAATCACACACAAAATAGTTTTTAAAACTTAGTTGTGTTTTCAATAAGAAGCAGAAGCAATTTTATAACATAAGTTACTTAAAATTCCATATACTTAAAATGAAACCATATTATTTGTTATTACGTTATACAAACAAGCAAAAATTAAGTAGTTTTTAAAAACTAAACTTAAAAAATTGTGCAATTTTTGATTATTTAATTATTATTTTTTATTTGTTTATGTTTAAAAACAAACTAAATTGTTACTATGTATGTAATTAGATTTTAAAGTGAAAAAAGAACTATAAATATATGTAGTATGTATTTGTAACAGATATTACTTTAAACTGTCTACTTTTGTCTATTCTGCTTTAAAGAATTTTACCCATAAGATTTGTATAAAAACTAAATTAAAAATTTGAAATCTTCACTTTCAGTTTTTGACTGTATTTTCGTATAAAAAATAAAGAAACAACACATTTCTTTTTAAAAAATATATTTAAATTGTGATTTTTTAAGAAACGATTAATGATTATTTTCGATTATTTTCCTTTACATATCTGGTAGAATATTTGTGATTTGTTTCTGAAAGAAATTATGAGAATTGGCCTAATATTTAAATGCAAAAATCTATACTTTATTATTAAATATTAAGAAGTGGACATTTAAAATTGACACTATTAATTATATTATTTTATTGTGTATATACGACAAATAGTTTCTTACTATAAAACATTTATCATATTTTCAATTTATATGCTCATGTTTTTTATTTGTTGTACACTTGTATAGTATTTATGTAAACACTATAAAAAGTTAAATGTATTTCTTTTGTAAAATGTTTTGTTCTTATAAATAGAAAAATATTGATAACAATATAAACGAATTTATTGACATACTAAACATTATAGTATATGTTTTATTTTTCTTTTTATTAGTTTCATTGAATTGACGATTTTTACTTTCAATTAATTAAATTAAACAATTTTGTTTAAATTTGGGTCAATGAGTGTGTTAAAAGTGTTTTTTTTTTTAATTTGAAATTGATAATATGTATCTCTTAATCATTTAATATTTTTAAAAAATCGTTATTTTTATATTATCATTCAATTATTTTCATCAGGGGCATAGATCCAAACTATCCAGTTAAATTATAACTTAGGGTTAGCCCTAGGACGTCAAGAAGTCAATGCATGGCAATGAACCTATTTTCTTTTGTTTTTAAGTGTCTACTCTCAAGATTACTTAGGGACAGTAATATTACGACTGTCTCCGCCCTCGCTTGCAAAGGGAACACTTAATTGACGACTACCTATACTCTCGTTTACAAAGAGTACATTCGTGACAAAAAACGTACCAGAATGTTAGACGTTAGTGGAAATGACTTTCGGATGCATTGACTCCTTGTCATTGTGGCTGGTTTTCGAAACATCTTACACTTATAATCCTTTCCCCCAATTTCTTCCGGCCAAATGCCGCCCATCAGAAAACATTTTTAACGCAAAAACAGAATTAAACTTCATAGGCCCATATTTTAACTCAAGACACTTTCAATTCTAACACCAGCAGAAATCTTTTTTTATACTAACAGCACTAGACATTTACGCTTCCAATCGCAACTGCAACAGGTTTTTCGTCCGGCCGAAAGCCAGCTGCTTATCAATAAGTGAACATTAAAACAGTACCTCCCGACCAAGGGCCACCTATCAGGAAACATTTTTAAAACACTCTAAAGAGTTTTAGAGCCTCATATCACTAGGCACTCTTTCTTCCAAACCCTAGGAAGTCACATTTTTAAATTATGTTACTCAAGTGTCTCCTTGTATACACTATACAAAGTATTTTGTAAAATTCGTCAGCTTACCTTAATAGCTGCGTAACTAAAGTTGTTTCTAATAATTTGACCGCAAATTTTTACATAGTTTTACTATTAATTGTTGTTTTTAAACATTTTTTCACTTTTTCTAGACTTTCTATAGATTACACCAAAAAACAGAAAACACCCAGGATCAGCAGACAACATTTATTTTTTCACATTCACACGAATTTTGTATTTCTTAAAGATTTATATATAATTTAAAACAATAATAATATGCACAATATATTTATCAAATAAATTTTCATTTTTCACTTGTTAATATGTTTTCACAACAGGTAACATAAGTAAATTGATGCTACTGTCAAAAAGGCTTTTATTTAGGCGCTTTTTTAATGAATTGCGTCTGCAAAAAAAAAGAGATGTATAAGAAAATGATAACATTCAAATTACATCCTGTTTCCGTTTGGTATTGGTATTAATTTATTGCAGTTATAACTAAACAATAAAATTTTATTAACTGCTTCATATTAATTTGACTAATAAATATTATTTAAATTAACACATTTTACTAATAATAATTCTTTAGTAATATTTTACATTTCTAGAAGATTAATTTAATATAATAAATTTTTTATTAACGGTATATTTAAGATAAAGAATTCCCCCTGATATTTACCCAAAAAAGAAGAAGAACTTTATAGACTTGGCAGCACTCAAAAATGGTCACGTGAACAAAAACGTGTAATAAGTATGAGAGACAGAGACAGTAAGATATTTTATGAAAATTGTCGACGTCTGCCATAAGTAAAAAGAGTACAGCTATAGTAAGTAAACAATATTGAATTGGCAGCACTTTGACACGAAGCACAAGTGCAGTTGAATCTATTTTACGAATTTTGTTCATTCAATTTTTAACGTCGGTACATTTCGTTTGCGTGTTCGAAGAATTTTTTCTGGCCCAATTTATAAGTTGGGGGAATAAATTCACTTTCTATACGGACGTTTCAGTGGAAACAATAATTAGGAATAATTTTATACATAGAAACATTTAATTAAAAGCACAGCAAATAACAATGGGAAGTAAGTAAACAACTGCAACGAAATTTAATTAAAAAACAAAAATAAAGTGAATTAATAAGAAAATGCAAGTTAAAAGAATACTGAGATTGAGTTACAAAAAGTGGGCAAAACTTAAAAGTAGTCCGTCCTAAGTTTGAAGCGTTTTACTTTGCTTACGTATACACAGTTTCAAAATTGTTTGCCGGTGTTGCTTTCCTGCTTGTAATCATACAAATTTTGTGTTTATTTCAATATACTGGCTAATAAATTAGATGCTTAAAAATAAATAAATACTGGTGACGTGTTAAAACTAATATAACTTCTTTCTCTTGCCCTTCCAGTTAAATTCCTTGAAGTCATAAAACCCTTCTGCAGTATACTGCCAGAAATTGCTAAACCAGAACGCAAGGTAAGTTACAATTGTTTATTTTAGCTTATATTTAAAAAATAAGTCAAGTTTAATTAATGATTTCAATTAGAAATGTATTATTAATTGCCAAATTAAGCATTAAGATAAGCCGCCTGCCTATTTTTCTCCAATTCATTTATTTGGTTGTAGAAAGAAAGGTTGCCATACAATACAAAACTTTCTAATTGTCATAAAAAGAAAATGAGAAAGATAAAGAAACAATAATAAATTGAAAAGGGATTGAAGGGAGAAGGAAAAAGCCACGCAGGCATTTCACACCTTTATCATTAATTAAAGATTTGTTTATTTGTTTTGTTATAAAATGTATTGAATATATTTAATAGATTGCTTGTCAATTAAATATTAATAATATAATGTTATATTATTCGTGAAAAAAGCAAATTGTATTCTGTTTATGAATGGTATGCATGTTTTCTTTATTCTCTCTTTTAAGTTTGACATTTATCTGTATTCGTGTTATTTTGACAGTTATACCAGCGTATACGACGTGTACAAAATAAGCCGAATGCAAGTCGTTTCATTTCGTCATTAAATATTTTCGTTATTCGTCTGTCTGCTTTGATAAATTTCAATAGAAAACAATCATAGTATTCGCTGTTGATTGTTGTTTATGTTTTTTTTTTTGCTTACGTAGCTATGCATACGACGAACGGCCAACAACTGTCATTATTATCATAATGATGATGACAATGATGAAGTTTTTAATAGCTTGATTTTTGAGGAAAGTTATAAAGACTAGTTTATTATTATTCTATCGTTTCTTTAAAAAATTAAACAAGAATGTAGGTCAATACACCATTTTAGTTAGTTTTTAGCTAATAGTAAATTTTAAATGAAAGTTGATATTTCACAAAGATTTTTAGTAAAAGATGAAATAATTAGAGTTTATTTTAATTAAACACATTAAAAAAGATTTGTAATATATAACCTACCTCGTTTTCAGATTCAATTCAGAGAGAAAGTGCTATGGACCGCCATAACGCTATTCATCTTCTTGGTTTGCTGTCAAATTCCTTTGTTCGGTATCATGAGCTCCGACTCAGCTGATCCCTTCTACTGGATTCGTGTTATTTTGGCCTCCAATCGTGGTACCCTTATGGAATTGGGTATCTCTCCCATTGTCACCTCCGGTTTGATTATGCAATTGTTGGCTGGTGCCAAAATCATCGAAGTCGGTGATACTCCCAAGGATCGTGCCTTGTTCAATGGTGCTCAAAAATTGTTCGGCATGGTTATTACTATTGGTCAGGCCATCGTCTACGTAATGACTGGCATGTATGGTGATCCATCAGAAATTGGCGCTGGCGTTTGTCTGTTGATCATTATCCAATTGTTCGCTGCTGGTTTGATTGTTTTGCTTTTGGATGAATTGTTGCAAAAGGGTTATGGTTTGGGTTCTGGTATCTCTCTCTTCATTGCCACTAACATTTGTGAAACCATTGTATGGAAGGCATTCTCCCCCACCACCGTCACTACTGGCCGTGGTACTGAATTCGAAGGTGCTGTCATTGCCTTATTCCACTTGATGGCCACTCGCAGCGATAAGGTCCGTGCTTTGCGCGAAGCTTTCTATCGTCAAAACTTGCCCAACTTGATGAACTTGTTGGCCACCGTACTTGTGTTTGCTGTCGTCATATACTTCCAAGGTTTCCGTGTTGATTTGCCCATCAAGTCTGCCCGTTACCGTGGTCAATACAGCAGCTATCCCATTAAGCTTTTCTATACCTCTAACATACCCATTATCTTGCAATCAGCTTTGGTTTCAAACTTGTATGTTATCTCCCAAATGTTGGCTGTTAAATTCCAAGGAAACTTCTTCATTAACCTTCTCGGTGTTTGGGCTGATGTTGGTGGTGGCGGCCCAGCCCGCTCCTACCCCATCGGTGGTCTATGCTACTATTTGTCGCCACCCGAAAGTGTTGGCCATATTTTAACCGATCCCATCCACGCCATTCTCTACATTGTCTTCATGTTGGGCTCTTGTGCGTTCTTCTCCAAAACATGGATTGATGTATCTGGAAGCTCTGCCAAGGATGTAAGTATTTAAATTCCTATTTTATATAAAAATTAACTAAACATTGTAACTTTTAATGTGTCCCCTATTTACAGGTTGCTAAACAATTGAAAGAACAACACATGGTTATGCGTGGCCATCGTGAAAATTCTATGATCCATGAATTGAACCGTTATATTCCCACAGCTGCTGCCTTCGGTGGTTTGTGTATTGGCGCTTTGTCCGTGTTGGCCGATTTCTTGGGTGCCATCGGTTCAGGTACCGGTATCCTATTGGCTGTCACCATCATCTACCAATACTTTGAAATCTTCGTTAAAGAACAATCTGAAATGGGCGGTATGGGCACACTGCTGTTCTAAGCTAAGCGCATTCAATCACTTAGTTAAGAGCGTGTCAAGTGTGTGTATATGTTTGTATGTTTAGGTACATAAGTGAAACTCAAAACATTTTACGTTTTGGGTTTTTTTATAAGATTTCTTTGTAATTACTTTTTTATTTAAAACAATATATAGAGCAGGATACAAGGCAAGGAAAGATGTTTGTTTCATAAACTTTTTCTAAATTTTCTTAGAAGAAGTTGAAAATTTTAAAATTTTCTTTAACAGCAAACATTAGTCTAACCCCTTCCATATTTTGCTTTAGTGATTCCTATTCACCTCATAAAATGCAAACCGCCTGCAAAGGAGAAGAAAATGAAAAATTCCACCTTTTAAATTAAAATGTTTATACAATTAAAACATCATCCTTCCATTTATTTTAAACATCGTTTGTTTCGAACTGTTTTCTTAAGCCTATTTGAGGTTTACTATAATTGTTTTCATACCTTTTTTTAACAAAAAAAGAAATACTAGTTTTATGTTAAAATATTTTTTTTTACGAAAATTCTATAAAGAGATAAAGAAAAAACACATCTAACACAAAAATGAGACTTTATTAACTTTAAAGATTTTTAATATTATTTCTAGAAATGAAGAATATTAATTTTATATCTTAGACTGGTTACAAAAAATCCTTTGAAATTGTTTTTTATAAATATACATTTTGTTTAAGCTTTAAATTAATAATATTTTGATGAAATAATATTAAAAATTATAAAAGTTGTAGTTTATTTATATACAGAACGAATGATTGTGAAATTATTAAAGTTATAGAATTAAAGAAAAAGCAAAATAATTCAAAATGAAACTTAATTCTAAATAATAAAAACTTGTAATAATAAAAATAAACAAAACCATAAAAAAACTGTAAAATTAAAAACGTGTCTTTTATTTAAAAACATATATCACATGTCAAGTACATGTGTGAATGAAGTGTTCAAAATTTTGGACATTTTTACGAAAATAGTATCAAAATTAAAAATTGGATTATCTTACAAAATTATATCACAATCGAATTGAATGAGAGTACAAAATCGACTCCTATTTACAAATAATTCTCATATATCATACAAATGATATCTCATGTATCAACTGTCATAAGCAATTCAGTTTTTTAATGTTTCGAGTTAGGCTATTATTACTTGTGTCCACAGAATAAAAGAGAGGTTTTTCTAGTATTTGGAAGTATTTTGTCGCAAAATGGGTAACAAGTTTACGTAAATAAGAATTGCCTTATTAGTGTGTAAATACCGCTCGACAATTTTTATTTTCATTGAAATATATCATTTTGACAAATTTATTTTAATAAATTTAAAAACGCCAACACGAAAATACATTCAATTGTCAACACTAAAACAATAGAATTCTTCGAGTCTGGCATCTCCGATGGAAAGGGTAAATAAATTAATTGACATTTATTTATTGACAGCAGCAGTAGCCACAAAAAGTGTTGACACCTCCAACTGGTGGATAAGCAAAGGAATTTCTGGTTAAAATCCAGACTGTTTACTATTTAAACAAGTGTTTTTTGTTTGTCAAAGCATTGGAGAAGCACAAATAACACGAATTTTATGATTAAAAAGAGCAAAAGTTGTAAAAACAAACACCATTATCAGCAGCAAAAGCAAAGACAATGTCGGCCACAACACATATTCTAAACAGGAATATGCCCTATTTGAAACAGCAATTTTCGGCGTTACTGCGTAATACATCACCAGTTATTACCCTTATATGTTTGGTAACCACTGTAGGTTATTTGTTGTCGTTCAGTGAGACTGCAGTACTCTTCTTAACTGTAACGCCTGGCTACATCTTGCCCAATGCAGAATTCTGGATATGGACTGCATTTACGTTCTGCTTTATAGAACTGCATTGGTGGGAGGTTTTAGTAGATGTTGTTACGGTTGGTTTGTGTGGTAAAATGATAGAACCTTTATGGGGTCAAATGGAAATGTTTAAATTTTTCGCTTTAAGCAATTTTGGTGTGTCGATATTGACCACAATTTACTATTTGTTCTATTACATGATCACAAAGAATCCGCAAATTTTATTTGATGTCCACATACATGGATTGGCTGGTTATGTGGCGGGAATTTGTGTAGCAGTACGTCAAATAATGCCGGATCATTTAATATTTAAGACACGCTGGGGTCGTTTGACCAATCGCAATGTTCCTTTGACCGTTTTAATTTGGTCCATAATACTTTGGGCTGTAAATTTGTTAGATGGTACGTATCCAGCCATGTTTGCTTCGGGCCTTTTGGTTTCTTGGGTCTATTTACGTTTCTATCAACACCATCCGAACGGTCGTGGTGACAGTTCGGAAAGTTTTACTTTTGCCAGTTTCTTTCCTAATGTTATGCAGCCCATCATTGGTATATTAGTAAATCCAATTTACTTGTGCTGTTTAAAGGTGGGAGTAGTTAAACCACCCGCACCACCGCGTGTGGCATCAGCTGCAAGTTTATCTTCCGTATCAATTTCGATGCCAGGCGTTGATCCACATGATGTTGAAAGAAGACGGTAATAAAAGCTGAAATTTGTATGAAAAATAAAGTTAATTTTACATTTTTTTCTCATTAACAGGCAAATTGCTTTAAAAGCTTTAAGTGAACGTCTAAAATCTACAGAAACTTCACGGCACTCACAGTTGCCCAAATCGTTTCCCACTGTGGCCGGAAGTGGTGGCCATAGTCATGGTCATGCCCATGGTCACGGTCAGCACCAACATAAACATCACGGCGGTCATAGCCACCATCATGGTCACAACGTTCATGCGAGTAGTTCTGGTCATGGACATTCACACGGCCACCCAATGGGAGGACATGGTGAATTGCAAACACCTCCATTCTTAGCATCATCAATGGTCAGTTCTGCCTCTCCTTCCTTGCCCATTACCACGGCTCGGTCTGAGCCCCGCATGATAAGCACCATGAGTCCAATAGCAATACCAATGCCAGCGCCGCCTCCCAAAACGGAAAATTCCGCCATAGCCACTAGTGATATCAAGGAAGATAGCAGCGACAAAGCGTTACTCATCGATATGGATAACGACAACACACAGTAATTGTAGTTTAGTAGCAAAAAAGTAATATAAAAGAAAATAAAATGAAACGAAACGAAAAAATTATCATCTGAGAATGAAATGTTGAGTTGATGATGACGACGACGATGCTGCTGTAAGTCTAGGCAGTGATCTTAATTTTTTTGTTTTTATTATTTAAACGTGTATAATAAAATAGAAATTACATTATAAAAGAAAAATATAGTACGTAAATTTTCTTATCTTAAACTAAATTGGCGTTATTTTATTTCAAAATGTTTGCCTAATTCTTTTTTATTTATTAAATTAAGTTTTTCTCTAATGTTGTTCAAACGCAATAAAGTGCTTTTAAAAATAAATATTTATTGGAATTTGAAATGTATGATATAATCTAAATAAACATACGTCTATGGAGTGCGGTTGACGAATTACACCTGACTATTTTATTGAGAATAACTCCTGTCTGAACAAGGAAAAGTCAGAATTAGCCCAATTATTTTTTGATAAAGTTTATTCAATTCGTTTTTCTTTCATGAGTTTATAATTATAGTTTAATTTTTGTTACTGTTATAAAACGGAAAATATGTTGTTGATAAAAATGTCTTAAAAGTAAAAACGACTTCTTTCATAAAGATTATTTTGTTAGCGATTTAAAAAAAACATTTCCATAAATTATTCCGCAATTCTCATCTGTAGTATTGTTGCTGCTGCTGCCAAGAACTTTGACCTCCCGCTTGATTTGATGTACCGCCTTCGTAAGGAGGATTGTTGCCGGAAGAGCTACCACCCCCAGCACTTCCAAAAGAATTTAAAACGCTGCTGTAATATGAAGCATCCGCAACAGATTCTGAGGGCTGATGGTGCCCCTGGCTAAGGGGAGTCTTTTTGAGCGATTGGTGCAAAGCCACCTTACCCTGATGACAATCTTGAGCATTGGCATTATTTATGCGTGCCAAATTGGCCTGTGTTAAAGAGGAATGAGTGGTAGATGTTTGTAGTGCTGATGAACCGGGAGGAGCAATTGAGCCAATATTACTAGTCGACCGTAAGGGGGTGCGTTGAGTTAACAAGGTGGAAGGAGCTTGTATAGGTGCTACTGTAACGGACGATTCGGATAGTTTTCGTTGAATGCCTGAATCGGGTTTGATTTCGGCCGGTGGGGGTATAGGTGCCGGTGGTGGGGGTGGAGGTGGTTGAGTAACATGGCGATGATTTATATGAGCTTGTAAGTCTCTTTGTGATAAGTAAGTTCTTCTACAACCAGTATTTCCATAGCGACTGCCGCTGTGTGTACACATAAATACCGTACCAAGCCCCGATTGCTCTACACGTACTACCTTATCATTGCAACGAGGACAGACTTTCACCGGTTCTGTCCGGGCACATTTCAAACAGAAAACATGTTTGCAAGGGATCATGCGACCGTAGTGTAAAATCGGTTTGTCACATTGATCACAAATATGAATCATGGGATTTAAAACCTTTTCGCCAATCAAATTGACTTTGTGATTCCATTTAAGCCGAAGCATTGGTTCCGGAGGACCTCTACAAATAGTTGTAAATGTTGGCGCCTCTAGCTGAGATATGTCCGCTTCCATATCAACTAGAATAATAACAATATCAAATAAGATATTATAGGAGAAATGGAAATATTTTTCAAATAAGTCTTACTTGTTTGTGGTACAATATTGTTCGTTGGCTGGACCGGCAACGCGGGTGGAGGCTGTTCCGGTTGCGGAGTAGTAACCGCATTATTAGTTGTTTCTGTATTTGTATTGCCTACAGTGCTAACACTAGCAGGAACTTCTGCCGTTTCATTTCCTTTTGTCAAGTCATTCATAACCGCATCTTCACTTGTTTCTAGCAAAACATTGGCTCCACTTCCCGCCGACACATCACCGTCTTCCACAACAACACCTGAACTACCATCAAATGACTGATCCAGTGATACTTCCTCATCACTAGACACAACTACTGCGGCTTTTTTGCCTCTACCACGACCGCGTCCACGACCTCGACCACGGGCTCTAGCACCCCGTCCACGTCCTCGACCCCTCTTTGTAACACCATCTTCACCGTCCATTTTAGCGATTTGTTTAGCCAAAGAAATAGGTATTTCTTTTCTTTGATAAATATTTATTTTATATTTTTATAGCTGCTGAAAAAATAATTCGCTTATATTTTAGCTTCGTCCACAGAAATATCTTCTTCTACATTTTTAAATAGTGCTATTCAATGTGAACTGTTAGCTTTTGATGATATTTTTGTTGAGGCTCAGTTAGTTTCTACGTTCCGTTACGTAATGAACTAGCAGATTAGTTATGTAAAGGCTCAGTTAGTTTCTACATTCCGTTCAATTATGAACCATCAGATTACGGAAACCTGTGTAAGTCGTTAGTTTAACCATGAGTTCGACGTTGGGTTTTTAGGAAAATTACGAATCAACTGATTCGTCACGAAACGGAACGTTAAAACTAACTGAGTCATCGGACATTTTTTAGCCTAAAAGTATGTCGTATATTTATTTTTTATTTCACTTTTTTCGATTTTGAATTTTCTACTTTTTGAAATTGTTTACTTTTCGAACTTTCCAATTTCTTTCCAAATATATGGCCCGCGAGCAACTTTTTTATAGGAATACCTCGCAATTTCTGTTGTATAAAATGTGTAACATAAGTATGGTTATATTTTGTAATACATTTTAATTCCCGGGAATCGGTGAGTTAAAAATCACTACATTTCCTGACACTTCCTGAGAACGAAACCCTAGTTCTATATATGTGAATCTATTTCGACTTTTTGTGGATAAAAGTAGCAGTCAACTATGTTCTACCTTCAAAAAATTTTGGTAAGATGACTATCTGGTATGAAGCAGTCAAAAAGAAGACCCTGTAATAAAAGTTGGAAAAAGTCGACTTGGTGAGAAGTCGATATAAAATATAATTACAATTTGAGTTTTCTACTCAAGGTGGAGTTATTTGTATAAACGCACATAATAACAAAAAATATTCGACTTAAAAAATAAATTCAATAATGCATCTATTTTTGTTGCAAACATTTTAAAGTTGAATGTTTTTTCTATCTGTAAACATTGAAATAGAAGTCAAAAAGTGAACCACGCCGAAAATTGAAAAACTTTATAAAAATCGAAAACTGAATATTAAAAAAGTTCAAAAGTCGATAATTTCAAAATTATAAAAATTCGAAAAATCTACATTTCGTACATTGAAACGTCCGAAAGTCAACTTTTCATAAATTGTAAAAAGTGAAAAATCGACTTTTTGTTTCAACTGATTTTGTTATTTTAATATACGATCACGATATATCGTGAAAAAGCATAATGATAAAGTAGGTTTTCTTTAAAATTACTCCTTAAATTTTATAAAATTAATTAATTAATTTCGAAATAAACACTTTTCGATGAAAACATTCAATTTGAATGAATAGCCCATTGGTTGAATTTGTATATCCAAGACGCAAGGCAGAGTTGTATAAGCAAAACGAGTTCGTAAAATTACATTTTCGACATGTTTTAAAATGGAACTAGTTGATAAAGAAATTTTCGATGTGTCAAAATGTATTGTAAAACAACACTATTCAACTGACTTTAAAATAATTTGATTTGCTCAAATTACTTCATTTAAAAATTGGTGTTAGCCGGCATACAGTCGATTTTAAGCCGCCGACAAAATTTTTAGTGTCAATCGTTGCCGCCGTAAATAATATTTGTCGGCGCAGGACTCTGGGCTGGGGTTGTGTTGAATTGTGGCAACATCTTTCTTTTTCTCGTAACGCCATTGCAGGCGTGTAGTGTTTTTAAAAGTTGTCCAAGAAAAAAATCATAAAACATCCAAAATGGTATGTGAAATTAATTTAAAATATTGAGAAAATCTTAGAGAAAAGCAAACGAATTTTCCAATGGCATAAATATTTTAAAAGTGCACCAAAATTGTTTTGGAAAAACATAAAATTATGAAATTGTTAATTGCGACGTTAGTGTGTGATGGCGTTTTATAGATCCGAAGTCTTGAACGAAGACTTCGTGTGGTATTGAAATTGACATGGTGGCGAAAGTAACGAGTGCAAAATGACGTGTGCATTTCTTCACAAAAAGTGTCCCTATTCACTTTTAATGGCCTTGGAAAATTTGTTGAAGATTTCGTTTTGTTAAAATTGTCTCATATTGTGAAATTATGTCTTTGTCATAATATGTCTATAATATATATGTTTGTATATGTGTGGTTCATAGGTCAACTTCACCGTCGACGAAATCCGTGCCTTGATGGACAAAAAGAAGAACATCCGTAACATGTCCGTCATTGCTCACGTCGATCATGGCAAATCCACTTTGACCGATTCCTTGGTGAGTATTTTATAGATAGATGACCCCACCCAAAGTGACATCAAACTAATGTGTTGTTCTTGTTGTTCTTGTTCGTGTGTGTAGGTTTCCAAGGCTGGTATTATTGCTGGTGCCAAGGCTGGTGAAACCCGTTTCACTGACACCCGTAAGGATGAACAGGAACGTTGTATTACCATCAAGTCAACGTAAGTGTGAAAACAAAAACAACATATTGTATATAATAGACATTCCTAACAATTGGTATTTTTTTTCTTTAGTGCCATCTCTATGTACTTCGAAGTCGAAGATAAGGATTTGGTTTTCATCACCAATCCCGATTTATGCGAAAAGAACAGCAAGGGTTTCTTGATCAACTTGATCGATTCACCCGGTCACGTCGATTTCTCCTCTGAAGTAACAGCTGCCCTTCGTGTCACTGATGGTGCTTTGGTGGTCGTCGATTGTGTTTCTGGTGTGTGTGTACAAACCGAAACTGTATTGCGTCAAGCTATTGCTGAACGTATTAAGCCTATTTTGTTCATGAACAAGATGGACCGTGCTTTGTTGGAATTGCAATTGGATGCCGAAGAATTGTACCAAACTTTCCAACGTATCGTTGAAAACGTCAACGTCATCATTGCCACCTACAATGACGATGGTGGTCCAATGGGTGAAGTACGTGTTGATCCCTCAAAGGGTTCCGTAGGTTTCGGTTCCGGCTTGCACGGTTGGGCCTTTACCCTCAAACAATTCTCTGAAATGTACGCCGAGAAATTCAAGATCGACGTTGTCAAGCTAATGAACCGGTAAGTGAAATTTTCGTTAGTTATTTTTAATGTAAAAATTGAGAAATGCAAGTTTAATAAGATTAAATGCTTTTAGCACAATTCGTGTTGTTCATAAAGCGTTGAATTCTTAGATTTTATCTAGTATTCAGGGCTTGAAGACTGAAGAACAAGTGCATATAAAAGTAGAACAAAAGAACAGAAGACCACTTTTTGATCACTTTGTGTGATTGAAGATGAGGACTTTAGTTCGGGCTATTGAGTTGTAACGCTGAGTAGTGACCTCTTTCTTAATGTCAAATCTGCTTACGCTGAAGATTCGATAGAACATTCGAATTATTTACATTATTTTTTCTGATGTAATTTGTTTTTAAATTTGAGAATTGAGATTTATTAATAGGTTTACTTCAATTCAAAATATTTTAGTCTCTGGGGTGAAAACTTCTTCAACGCCAAGACCAAGAAATGGCAAAAGCAAAAGGAAGCTGATAACAAGCGTTCCTTCTGTATGTACATCTTGGACCCTATCTACAAGGTCTTCGATGCCATCATGAACTACAAGAAGGAAGAAATCCCCACCTTATTGGAGAAAATCGGTGTAACCTTGAAGCACGAAGATAAGGACAAGGACGGCAAAGCCTTGTTGAAGGTTGTTATGCGTACCTGGTTGCCAGCTGGTGAAGCTTTGCTTCAGATGATTGCCATCCATTTGCCTTCTCCCGTCGTTGCCCAAAAATACCGTATGGAAATGTTGTACGAAGGTCCTCATGATGATGAAGCCGCCATCGCTGTCAAGAACTGCGATCCCGATGGTCCTTTGATGATGTACATCTCCAAGATGGTACCCACCTCCGATAAGGGTCGTTTCTACGCTTTCGGTCGTGTATTCTCCGGTAAAGTAGCCACCGGTCAAAAGTGCCGTATCATGGGCCCCAACTATGTTCCTGGCAAGAAGGAAGATTTGTACGAAAAGGCCATCCAACGTACCATCTTGATGATGGGTCGTTATGTTGAAGCCATCGAAGATGTTCCCTCTGGTAACATTTGCGGTTTGGTCGGTGTTGATCAATTCTTGGTTAAGACCGGTACCATTACCACTTTCAAGGATGCTCACAACATGAAGGTAAGAAAACCATCAGTTATATCAAATAGATTGCGTTTAGAATATTATCTGATGATATTTAACACAGACCTGTTCTGAATTCACACCCATCTTTGAATGATCAAACGTTAACTGATTTCTTATATTCTTATATTCTAAAATGAGAAAAATTTACTTATGGGTAACAACAGTTATTAATTTTATTCTTTTGTTTTTGTGTTCTCTTCTTGCGTAGGTCATGAAATTCTCCGTTTCACCTGTCGTGCGTGTTGCTGTTGAACCCAAGAACCCTGCTGATTTGCCCAAGTTGGTTGAAGGTCTTAAGCGTTTGGCCAAATCCGATCCTATGGTACAATGTATCATTGAAGAATCCGGTGAACACATCATTGCTGGTGCCGGTGAATTGCATTTGGAAATTTGCTTGAAGGATTTGGAAGAAGATCATGCTTGCATTCCTTTGAAGAAATCCGATCCCGTTGTATCGTACCGTGAAACCGTTTTCGAAGAATCCAACCAAATGTGCCTCTCCAAATCTCCCAACAAGCACAACCGTTTGCAAATGAAGGCTTGCCCTATGCCCGACGGTTTGCCCGAGGACATTGATAACGGTGACGTCAGCTCCAAGGACGATTTCAAGATCCGTGCCCGTTACTTGGCTGAGAAATACGATTACGATGTAACTGAAGCCCGTAAGATCTGGTGTTTCGGTCCCGACGGTACCGGTCCTAACTTCATCTTGGATTGTACTAAGTCCGTACAATACTTGAACGAAATCAAGGATTCCGTCGTTGCTGGTTTCCAATGGGCCACCAAGGAAGGTATCTTGGCTGATGAAAACATGCGTGGTGTACGTTTCAACATCTATGATGTTACATTGCACGCTGATGCCATCCATCGTGGTGGTGGCCAAATCATTCCAACCACTCGTCGTTGCTTGTATGCTTCTGCCATCACCGCTTCTCCTCGTTTGATGGAACCCGTTTACTTGTGTGAAATCCAATGTCCCGAAGTTGCCGTCGGTGGTATCTATGGTGTATTGAACAGACGTCGTGGTCATGTCTTCGAAGAATCCCAAGTCGTCGGCACCCCCATGTTCGTCGTCAAGGCCTACTTGCCTGTCAACGAATCCTTCGGCTTCACTGCTGATTTGCGTTCCAACACTGGTGGTCAAGCCTTCCCTCAATGTGTGTTCGATCACTGGCAAGTGTTGCCCGGTGACCCATCCGAACCCTCCAGCAAACCTTACGCTATTGTTCAAGATACCCGTAAACGTAAGGGTCTTAAGGAAGGTCTCCCCGATCTTTCCCAATACCTCGACAAATTGTAAACATTCTGCTTACGTCTTGTCATCTGTAACTAATTTACGAGAAATATTTTTGCTGTTGTGGCTACGAATAGCGTTTTCTTGGATCATGGATCTATTAGTTCATTATTCTAGCTACTTTCTTATACTTTCAACTAAAACAGCAGCATTAACAAAAACAACAACATCAATATAGCACATGCATAAAACAAGTTTAAGAAAAATGAAATTATAGAGAAAAACAAACAATAATAAAAATACATGATAATTACCACATATTAAAATATGAACAAAAAAGAAAAACTCGTAACTGATTGTTGGTCTATTTTTATTTCGATGGTATTTAAGGAGGAGGTAAGTTGTTTAGGTGATTAATGTTTGGAATTAAAGAAATATTTTTTTTTTATCATGATGATTAAACCCAGAAAGAGTCCAGTATGGTAGTAGAACTCAACCCTGTATTGTTTTACCCTTCATTTTTAACTTTGCTTTCCTCAACCTTTCTACTAAAATTGACTGTCATTTTGCAAGAAAGTATGCTTCGAATTTTGAGTTTTGTTTAAAAATGTATTTTAGAGTTGATGTAAAATTTAAATTTTAGGAAAAACCAACAAATTTGGCTTCTGCTTCAAAATTTCAAGTTAAAAAATATTGAAAACAGATTGGAAATAAAAACCATTCAAATGCTAGACTCTTCAATGAAGCTCTCTTCCTCAGTTCACTCTAGTGGTAGGTTGATACATAATCAAAATTCTGTAACAATGCCCATGGTGACAGTTAAACATCAAGATTCAATAATCATACCACCTAAAACTCTTTCGAGCATGTACAGAGCAAAAGTTATAGACGCTTATAGGAACCGTCGCATTTTCACAATTTTTGGAAATTATAATACTATAAGGCGATCACTGCTTAAAAGAGGATGGTTGGAGAAACTGGCCCCAGGTCGTCATAACAAGTTGCAAGGTCTATCAGAAGAAGTGCTTCTTCAGCATGCCAGGAGAGGAAACGATTATGAAGCAGTGGCCATTAGCAAAATAATTAACCATCTCCCTGCGTTTTTTGTGTGGCAACCAAAGGCTCAGCGCGACCTGTACATGGATGTTCATCCGTATCGCAATCGCATACGAAGGACTCACGCTATGGACTTTTCTACAAAAGTCGGTCTTATAGGATGTGCTGAACAACAGCATTGGTTCCATCAAGATGGTGTTGCAGGAATGTTATATCCTCGCTTTTTTCGCTTGGGAGCCAATCAAGAAGAACAGACGGCATTTATAGATGAATTCCGCATTACACAATGTGCTAGCTTATTACGATACTTAATTAGGCACCTTGAAAAGCATGAAGACATAATCGATTATGAAAAGGGTAATATTTGCCCAACAATTGTGCATTTTGCTTTGGGTCGAGTTAAAAGACAATTGGACGATTGGGATAATATTGGTTTTTTAGATATAGAACAATCTCAAGTCCCCGAAGAAGAGTGGACTAGTTTTTTAGACGATTCCAGTAGAGTTATTAATGGTAAACAGAAAATAAAATGTACTTATCGAGAGTTGACGGAATTTATTAAGACATCAACAAATCTATTAACAAAAATGGAAGAAAAACATCCGGACCGTAAATGGGATGGATATAAAAACTTATGGATACTAAAACCAGGCTATCAGAGTCGAGGTTTGGGTATTGTAATACGTAATAGCTTAAATGAAATTCTAAGTTGGTGCACGAACCATACCAATCGTCGTTACATAGTGCAGAAATATATAGGTAAGTAACAAGCTTTAAAGTTTTATTAGCATTTTTTCTGAAGAACATATTTTTTTCTTTTAGAACAACCACTTTTAATATATCGTACCAAGTTTGATATACGCCAATATATGTTGGTATTCATAAGAGAATCAACAGTGCAAATTTGGTTATATGCAGATTGTTATTTGCGCTTCAGTTCCCAGGAGTACAGCATCGATGATTTGCGGGAGTGTATACATTTGACCAATAATTCAGTACAGAAAAAATATAAGAATAAAAGCAACCGTGATTCCAGATTACCAAAGCAGAACATGTGGTCTTTGGATCAATTTAAAGCATATTTAAAAAACCAAAATGTACCAGAAGACACTTGGAACAAACGTGTTTATTCTGGTTTTCGCGAAAATCTTATTGCTGTTGTGTTGGCCAGTTTGGATGAGACGAATTTAAATGAAAATTCTTTTGAACTGTATGGTTGCGATTTTATGCTGGATGAACAATATAATCCAATTTTGATCGAAATCAATTCCACTCCCGATTTATCTCCCTCAACAGAGGTGACTGCCCGTATTTGCCCCATGGTTATGCAGGATTGCGTTAAAGTCATAGTTGACATGCCACGCAATAGTCGAGCATCAACGGGACTTTTTGAAATGGTCTATGAGGTTAATTACAAATTTAAACAACAATTCAATAACACGGAGGGCTTAAATGTTAGCGGTAAATCAGTAGAATTGACAAAACGTCCGTGCGTACCAACAAAACCAAAATTAAACAAAAAAGCTAAAATGGAAAACAAACCTCATAGCAAAAAGGTTAATGAGATAAAGGTAAGATACATTTTTTATTAGGCATTAAAAACTCGTATCAGATTTTAAAACATTTTTTTTAAAATAGAGTCCAAATGTATCTGCGGTGTTATCCAAAAAATCTAAATCCAATATGTCAAACGTCGTGCCAAAAAGCCTAAAAGCGGCAGCAAAAGAAGCTTTAGCCTTGCGTTATACAATGCCAAAATGAAATGCGAAAGTCTCACTAGAACCCCTCATAAAGATAAACCACAATTAAATTATAATTATTTACAGCATTTATTTAAACTTGTAACCACTTTGTAAGCTAAATCAAAAATGTAACAGTTAACAGTGATTAACGCTTTGTAATTGTATTGTAGCTCTAAACTTTCGTCATCGGACTGATTTGTCTTTTGCTATTAATATTATTATTCCAGTTGGATATACTTTTTCCAATGGCATGTATAGTGGTGGCACTGTTTTCGATTTTGGTGTCCGGTTGTGGCTTTGATCCTAAACTTAAATGCGATTTTATAGAGCTCACATTTTTCTTGGCTGGTATCATGGGACTAAGGCTTTTAGAGCTAGGCAAGGCTTTTTTAAGGGGACTACACAATTCTCTTATGTTATCCGCTGATTTACTTATAGTTAACACTGGTGTATCTAAAAGATTTGGCTTCTTAATACTTCTTACATTACGAGATGAATGTAAAGCCTTTTGCTGATTGTAGGAGGCTACAAAAAATTTCGATTTTTGAGTGTCTTTACAATCTAGAACACAATTAGTCGAAAATCTAGGACCACAGCTGCGATGACGTTTAAGTGTGGAGTACATAGATGAACGGAGAGAAGAGTTGGGACTTGATATCTTTCGCGCTTGGCAACGACCGACAGCGGACACCATGAGATTGGTAAATGATTTTCTCCGTTTATCTGAGGTTATCAGGTGCGTGGTGAACTGTGGTTTGCTTTCATTCATGCTCATCAATGAGGAAACGCTTTTAGTGCGAGGACTATTTAAAGCTACCTCAACCATACATTTTTCTATATATTCGGTGGCATTGAAGGCGGGCATGGGTTTATGTACTTGCGAAACATTCGTTACAGCTAAAGAAGTCCGTTGTTTATATAACTGACTAGTTTGTAGGGATCTTTCTCTGCGTTGAAATGTTTGATAGGTGTGATGTGTATTTGAACGATTCGAAATTTGTTTGCCCTTGATTATTAGGTTAAGACCCATATAGGCTGGGGTAGGGGGGATGTTTTGGCGATAAATCAATTCGAAATTTCCTACATCGGCCTTGGGATCGTTACGACGATCGATCATTACTGAAAAATAATAGAAAAGATTGAAATTCAACTGTACTTTTTGTATGACTTGTTTACCTTTTATAACATCTTCCAGACATTGGGGGCACATCCTTGCTGTAACACTTGTCGAGGCAGCCAAATCGGGATTAGAATTTATTTCTATTAGCCAAGGATAGAAATTTTCACATATCATAAAATCGGCACCAAATAATTCAAATGTATTGGGCGTCCTTTCCATATGTTCTTGAGAAACTAAAACCGCCGCCACTATAGCCTTACGCATACCCGGATAGATGCGCTCCAACCAATATTCTTGTTTACCAATTTGTCGCAAGTACGCCTGAAACGAATACGAGTCCCACATATTTTCATTTGGCAAACGTTTGTCGCGTTTTCCATTATTAGTATATTTCTTTTGTATGGCATGATTTGTTAAATGCACCGATTCGTGATGATTCGTTAGAGTGTATTCCTGTGAGCTAAAACGTAAATAACACTCTTTATACATCCAGACCATGAGAGGATGTATGCTGGAGATTAAAAACCATTGGCGTATATCGAATTTTGTTTGATGGATTATTAAAGGACGTTCTGTAAGAAAAGGAAATAAGTATTTTGAGTCTTTTGGTGAGTAAAATATGTATTTTCTACACTGGAATTAGTTTAAACTCTCTTGAATACTAGATTTACTGAGTAGTTAGAAACCCGCCCATATGCATAGTAACAAGTGATTTGTTAGGTTTTTCTATCGGGAACCCGACTATTATTTATAACACATACATGTACTCAAAATATAACACATACATGTTACTCAAAATGTTAAATTAACATTGCAAGAGTAAATTAGCGTGAGTTATGGCAAATTTTTCTTGCCACTTGTTGCTGATATAAAGGCGAATAACGGTTGCATGTTTTTATGTTGTTAGGATAATATTTGTTATTGTATTTTTTGTAAATGATTTGCTTTCAAGTTCTTTTTGTCTCTGACAGTAAGAAAAGTAGGTCTATCGTTCAATGGACTATTTTTGGTAATATGTTTTAAACGTATGTATGTGTGTTTTGGAAATCAGATAAAAAACACGTCCATATATTAATATGTTAAAACATATGTACTACATAATTTCGTTTATTAGTTGTGTAATCGAAACATATAAAATTACTCTGTAACATGTTGAAAATATGAAATTTTCCAGTAATATATTTTAATACTCCTATTACTTACCCATATACTTTTGTACTACAAAACGACTTTTCGTCGCTATAGAGGGATTAACAATATTCACAATTTTCTTCAGATTATTACTCAAATGTATACCACGTCCACGACATTTATTGGCGGGCTTCACAATCCAAAGATTTTCATAGCCATCTATGGAATATTGAGGCCAGTAGTATTGTATATTATCGAGCAGCTGAGCACCTCTTGTTATAACACTTTCCACTAATTTTTGGGGATCTGCCAGAATTTTAAAACCCTCATGTGTCATTTGATAATGCTGATGGAGAAAAGCATCCCAGTCATGTTCCCAAATGCGTGCTGGATCTTCTACATCAATATCGTTGTGCTGGCAATTGTCCATAAAATCTAGACAACGTTTAAATGCAAAATCTATAGAACTGTAAGGTATTTTGCCAGTTGCAGAAAAAACGGCATCAAAACCTCCCACATGATATTTGTCTACTAACCAGCGTACAAAGGCTATACAGGCAGTTAGTTTAAAATGATCTATAAACTCGCCTAGTTCTTCGGGAGACCATACATTAAAACAGCGTGGGAATTTAATATCAGCCACACCTTCCTCATAAAAGGCGGACATATCACGCAGAAAAGCATTTAAATTTTCCTTATTGGTAAAAGGAGCTCTATTGAATTTGTTGATCAGCATATTGTTATTCTTAGTTTGCTCCACATAATCAGCCTTTTCCTTATGCGGAGTCCAGAGCAAATCACACAATACATTTTCTATATAACGAGACATTATATTTCTCTCTACTTTGGCTATAAACTGTCTTTGTGTTTCGCCCATTCGACGTTTGGGCAAGACTTGTGATAAATCACAGATATTGATTTGATTAGTAGGCAATGGACCTGACTTGCGATGCATTTCTAGTTTCTCTACCCAACCGCGAGATTTTAGAGCATGACGTACGGAATTGTAGTTGCCACGTATGGTAAAAATTTTATTTTGTTTTACCGCCTCTTGGGCATGTTTACGCAATGTGTTTATTTGTTCATTGTTTAAAATGGTATAGACACATTTGACCTTTTTAAAGGGCCCCATTACCGATAACTGTTTATCGATAATAACACTGCCTTGAGAGGCGAAAGAACAAGTATTAACTTCATTGGGATTGGAGACAAATTGCACTGGTTTTTCTTTAGTGCTAACTACAGATTTTTTGGTCAACTTTTTCAGAGCATCGGTTACTAAAATTTCCGAACTTTTTTGATTCACTATAAAAGGTTTACGCTTTGCCACTTTAGAGCATTTTTCCACTATATTATCGTTAGAGTTTTGAAGATTTTTTGAACTTTTCAATTTATCTTTTTTGACATTTTCAGGATTATGATTAGAATCCTTTTCAGTTGTGTGCTCATTTTTTAAATTTGTTTTTATTGTTGGCGCTAGTTGATCCTGTATTGATGTCAATTCACTTTTATTAGTTTCAGTTTGAGGGACTGCCTCAACAATATTTGTTATGGTTGTGTCTGTTGTTGCTTTTGCTAATTCTATAGGCGTTTCATTGATTTTCTTTAATTTCTTTAACATATTAAAATATTTAGTTGAAGTTTATTTTCTTTTTTTTATCCTTTAATATTTCCGCTAACCGTTATAGAACACGTAACATGTAACGAACTGGCAAACGTTTTACTGATAACTAATTCAATAAAATTCAGTAAATATTTCGTGTTACTTTCCATTTTACTTCATTTTTTACAATATTATTTAGGCTTTAGCAAATATACTTTGGCAAGAGTTACATACTTATGTATGTGAAAGTATCTATGTGCAAAAAATTAACTCCTTAATCCTTGAAGGGCGACCTGCTGTTAATAAGTCTATATTAATTTATTGTTGTTTTCAAGATAACTTTATAGTTTGATTAGTTATTTAGTTGCTGTTCATTCTAAACAGACCTATTTATGGTTCTGTTATATTTTCATATAATTTTTGATTTTGTCTTACTTTATTTAATGGGTTAATTTGACAGTCAATTGTTGTAAACATAAAATCAAGCTGAAATAGAAACTATCAAGGTTTATGTAGAAAGAAGAACTATTGTAATACCCCATTTAATTGTATTCGTTGCTGTATAAGTATGCTTTCTTTAGAGTGTCCCTATGCCTAATAAATTTATAATTAGTACTAAAAAGGTGAGAAAAGAAATGAATCAAAATTTATCACACTCTTTGTATACAAATACATATTTAAGAATTAGGCGGGATCCGTGTTATCTGGATTTGCTTTGAAATAAAATCAGTAAATTTATGTTTTAATAAGAAGGTATTGCTTGTTCGACTACATGTGGTTCAAGGAGTTTGATTTATGAAACGTTACATTCGAAATTCTTTCAGTTCGGTTCACCCTAATGTAATTTGGGCGGTAATATGTTAAACATTGAAGACTGTATAGTTTGATTATCATCTGTTGGTAATAAATAAAGAAAATCAACTTATTTTTGTGTTTTCTTTATTATTACACGCGAAATATACTTTCACCGTGGTTGTTGCATAAAATAAGTACTTTTTCTCAACATTCTTTAGTATAAAAAATTATTTTTTTTACAAAAAGTTTTTACAAAATAAAAATTTTTTTATTAAAAATCTAAATTTTTGCTAAAAATTTGTATTTCACTTACTAAAAACTGTAATTTTCACGAAAAATTTGAATTTTCGATAAAAATTAAACTTTTTCACTAAAAATCTACTTTTCACTAAATATAAAATTGTTCACTAGTAATTTGACTTTTCACTAAAAATTCGATTTTTTACTAAAAATCTCGATTATCTTTAAAAATTTAATTTCACAAAAATTTCACCAAAATTTTAATTTTCGCTAAAAATCCGACTTTTTACTCTATAAATCCAACTTTTCACTAAATATAAATTTTTTCACTAAAAATTCCAAATTTCCAAAAAAATTTTAATTTTTTCTAAATTTTTACCAAAAATTTTAATTTTTTCTAAAAATTTTAATTTTTGCAAAAAATCCGACTTTTTACACTATAAATCCAACTTTTCACTAAATATAAAATTTTTCACTGATAATGTGACTTTTCACTAAAAGTCAAATCGAAATTTCACCAAAAAACCACAGGATTTACTACTGTTCAATTAAAAACGGTCGTCATATTTAGTTGAACTATTTTTTTTTTAAATTATTAATAATTAAAGAAAAAAATATAAATTGTCCATTTTGTTGTAATTGAATCAAATTTATTAAAAAGTTATTGCATTTAACATTTTGTTTTCTACTTGATCTAGTTTCATAAGCTATTTGCAAAAGTTTATTCCCTAGTTTTTTTTTTGCAAAATTTACATAAATATAAAATTTTTAATGAATTCACCTTTAAAGTTTTTCACTTAAAAAGAAACCGAAAACAAATAAACCTTGAAAAGACGAAGAAAGAAGGAATACATAAGTTTATTAAAGGACCATGGCACGTATGAGTTATGTGGCAAGTAGAACAGTTAAATTATAAATAAAAATAACTCATACGCAACATATGACAACATTTATACAAACATGACATAAATGGATTTTAAACGATTTTCTATACATATATCTATATGTGTAAAAACAAAAACAATAAATAGAAAAGAGAGAATAAATAAGATTTTGGGAGGAAATATAATGGTTCTCTATCTCTGATAATGTTAAGGGAAAATTTAGAAATGTTGAGTGCTGTGTTTAAGAAAAAATCGTTGAAAATTAAACTAAAAACAGAAAAGTGTATTAAAGAAACAAATGTCTAAAATTGAATAATTGTGAAAAAAATTGTTTACAACAGAGAACAAAAAAACACCGGTACTTGAAAACAACTCTCTGTTAAAAGAGAGAGAGAGAATATATTGAGTTTTATTATACCACTAGAATATGTGTGTATAGGCGAAAAATGAAAAGAAATAAAAAAATTCGCCTTAAGGTTATTTGCTTTTTTCATGGAAGTGTGTATATAAAATGACTTTGCTCGGAAAATTTGAAAACATTTCATACGCTTAACTGCTGGTGTTAACATTAACGGAAATACTAAACTCAAAGAAAACATTTTAAATGCTAAAGTAAAATTTACGCTTTATTTTATGAAATATATAATAAAATATAAATATTTGTGAAATTTTAAATTTCATAAACAAATAACGAAACAAAAATTAAAAAAAAACAAACTATTATTAACGGTATTTATGACTTTATAAAAAAAAAAGCTTTTAAAAAGGTGTTATAAAAAATTTAATAAAAAAATAAACTTAAATAATAGCTAAATCTGTGCCAAATTATTTTGTTATAAAAACATTTTTAATCAATTAAAAAATTGTGTTAAAGACTTAAAAATAAACTGCAACTATTTATTGTGGAGTGGAAAAAACACATATTTTTTCCTGCTGCCGGTATTAAAATATAGAAATATTGGAGCAAATATTATCAGCACTGTTTAATTTAACAAAATGGGAACTATTGGTAAGTAGCATGAAAGATTTTAATGTAATTTTTGTGGCAAAAGAAAATTTGCGAAAAATTTTTAAATTATATAAAATTTAATTGTTGTTTTCGAACATATTTTCGATAAATTTTTAAAGCTGTTAAAATAATCTAAGATCAAATTTTCAAGTTCTATGAATTATGTTATTCGTACAAAACTCTCTTGACATTTAATGATTAGATTTGGAAGCAATTCTAGATGTCACAAATTTTGAACATTCGAACTTTGTTCGAAAAAGCTATTATAATGTTAGCATTTTTTATGTCGTTTCTTAAAAATAAAACTATAGTTATACTTCTTTCTTTACTACTTTCTAACACAAAATATCAGCAATCAGAATATAAGACTTTAAAGATCTGTTCAAATATTCGAAGTTAAAGTATATTTTAAGCTTAAAAGCATGTTATTTACACATTAAAACACAAGATGGAATTTTGAAATAAATGTTAATGAAAGCTCTTAATATTCGCAAATTCGAACTTTTATTCGGAAAATTTTAAAGCTGTTAATGTTAAACTAAATAACGATCATAATTTTAGTTTAATTTAAAGTTCATTTCTTACCATTGGCGATTTCAAACGTAAAATAATTTTAAACCCTTTGTTACTATAATCAAAATACAAGTTTAAGTCTTTTTACTACTTGATTTTGAACAAGATTTTATAGATCAAATGGACAGAAATTAGTTAAATAGATAATGTTCGAAAAATTTTAAAATTCGAAGCTATATTCGATAATAATTTTTAAAAAAATATGATTTTCGAAAATTCGAATTTATGTTCGAAAAAAGTTTGAAGATATTGGAATAATCTCTAAGTCACAAGAATGCATTAAAAAAGTTAAACATTTTCTTAAAGTTGAAATTTTTGAAAAATTTTATAAAGCTTAAAAGCTTGGCAGAAGCTCAGTTCGAAGTTAAGGTAGAATTTTTCAAAGCTTGTAAGCTTATTATTAAAAATAAACTTTTTTGTTATTAAAAAATATTTTTAAATTAATTAAATAAAATTAATCAATAAAAAAATCCTTAAAATCCATAATTTTTAATTAACGACTTTTTAATTTTTATGGTATTTTATTTAAATTATATATATTTTTTACTATTATGTTGCTAAGCCTTTAACATAATTAATTTTGATTTTCTGTTAGAAATAATTTATTCATGATTTTCTAATAAAAAAAAAAAAATAATCAATCATTTTCAGTTTATTACAATTTCATACATACAAAAGCTATTTATAGTACAAATATTTAAATGTCAGCTTTATCATGCCCTTAATCACTTTGGTAATTTTATAAGCAACCAACCAGAAATATTTATGAAATTGTGTGACATGACAAATCTTTACTTAATACTAAATTCTGCTAAATTTAAATGTCTTAAGTTTCTTATGTTGTTGTTTGTTTTAATATTGCTTGTGACGTCATTGCCATGGGTCGTCTACCTTTTCCATACAAACTGTTAAAAGTTGATATTGCTATTGTTGTTGTTTAGCTAATAATAAAAGAGTAAATATGTGTAAATGTGTTTATGAAATCCTGTAACTATGACGTCAATACATTACGATGTTCTAGAAATGAGCAAAATAAGAAATAACTTAATATTTTATTATATACTCAGCAGCCAAAAAAAGGAGCATTGTTCTTTTTGTTTACTTTTTTCACTATTGCTATTTTTATGCCCTGTAACCAATACTTGAGCAATTTATTTCTAACAGTTTCATTTTCTAGGTATTGTTGTTGTTTCGACTGTTATACCATTTAATATAAAATATATAACAATTAAGGTTTGAGGTTCTCTAAATAAAAAGTCTGAGTACTTTTCATTGTTGTTTGTAATGTTAGGTTTTATAAAGAGGATTTAGTGATTTTTTCCCGTTTAATGAGGGTGTGTTTGTGTATTTTTTGTATTAAAAATAGAATTTGATTACAATTTATTTCCATAATACTTAAGTATATACAATGATAAATGCCTAAAAGCAAAATTGAAAAAGAAAATGATAATGTTTTCTAGGAAAATTAGTGGAAAGACAATATGGAAAATTTTCATTTTCTGACTAAAACCTTTAAGGCAAAAGTAATTTGAGTAGGATTAGCTAAAAATAATAAAAGTATATTTCTCAATTTTCAAATAATATGTTCAAATTACAAAAAAATTGGTTTACTAGTAAACAACTCTTATACAACTGAACGTATACTTAATATTTATTACAAAAATTTACCTAATATAAATCATACGCCTCCTTAAACTATAAATAAATCATATAAAAATAACATTTAATAAAATATGCAAAATATTAAAGATTCCTTAACGTTATTTAATATTTTATATAAAATAACAATTGTTATCCTTACATTACACTTTTATTACATTCGCAATTCTATAAAAAGAAAACATTTAAAAAAACATTCAAAAAAAAATATATAAATTTTCCTAACAAAAACAAAACTTTATGATTTGTTTCAAATTTCATTTTACGATCAAATCAGTTGAATAATTTGTTACGATTAAACCTAATGCCAACAACAGAAACAATGTTGTCTTGCAATAATTTTAATTTTTTGGGTTGTTATTATACAACAATAAAAAATTCCCATTAAAGTGAACAAATAAATGTAGCAAAAAAAAATTATTCAAACTGTTAACAAATTTCCTTTTAATGTTTTTACATAGTTCTGAAAATTTAATTTTTTTTATTTGCCTGTAAACGTAAATGTACATTAAAACTATAAATGATATTTTTTTCGTATATTATGGAAATCATACAAACTGCGCTTTTAATAGCTTGCTGTTTTTTGTGCTAAATTGAAATAATGTTTTTTTTTGGTACAACTTTTCAAATATTATATGTTTAAAAATCATCATTTGAAATGATTTGGCAAGATATTGAAAATGAACGAAAGAAAAAATTATTGAATTTTTAGTTTTAGTTTGTTTATTACACATTAATATTTTGATTTTTTTCTTAACAACGGCAAAATTTAGCAACGTAATGTGAATACAGTGAGAGAAAAAAGAAAGATTTTTCGGATTTTATTTTATTTTCTTTTAATTCATAGTTCATAGATTTTAAATTCATAGTTCTGTTCTGTTCTAGTTTAGTTCTAGTTCAGTTCTATTTCAGTTCTAGTTCAGTTCTAGTTCAGTTCTAGTTCAGTTCTAGTTCAGTTCTAATTCAGTTCTAGTTCAGTTCATTCAGTTCTAGTTCAGTTCAGTTCTAGTTCAGTTCTAGTTCAGTTCTAGTTCAGTTCTAGTTCAGTTCTAGTTCAGTTCTAGTTCAGTTCTAGTTCAGTTCTAGTTCAGTTCTAGTTCAGTTCTAGTTCAGTTCTAGTTCAGTTCTAGTTCAGTTCTAGTTCAGTTCTAGTTCAGTTCTAGTTCAGTTCTAGTTCAGTTCTAGTTCAGTTCTAGTTCAGTTCTAGTTCAGTTCTAGTTCAGTTCTAGTTCAGTTCTAGTTCAGTTCTAGTTCAGTTCTAGTTCAGTTCTAGTTCAGTTCTAGTTCAGTTCTAGTTCAGTTCTAGTTCAGTTCTAGTTCAGTTCTAGTTCAGTTCTAGTTCAGTTCTAGTTCAGTTCTAGTTCAGTTCTAGTTCAGTTCTAGTTCAGTTCTAGTTCAGTTCTAGTTCAGTTCTAGTTCAGTTCTAGTTCAGTTCTAGTTCAGTTCTAGTTCAGTTCTAGTTCAGTTCTAGTTCAGTTCTAGTTCAGTTCTAGTTCAGTTCTAGTTCAGTTCTAGTTCAGTTCTAGTTCAGTTCTAGTTCAGTTCTAGTTCAGTTCTAGTTCAGTTCTAGTTCAGTTCTAGTTCAGTTCTAGTTCAGTTCTAGTTCAGTTCTAGTTCAGTTCTAGTTCAGTTCTAGTTCAGTTCTAGTTAATTTTTAGTTCAGTTCTTATCTTATTCCCTCTCTATTTCTCCTTTTTTTGGGTCCAATGTTTACATTATTTTTGTAAGTGTATCATCTACACTGATTTGTTTATTGTTTGTTTAAACTAATTACTGTCTTATTTCGATGTTTATTTTTACTTTGGGACATTTCTAGCCCAGAAAAATAAAAACCAAATAACAAACAACTACTCAAAATATTTAGATTTATTTTAGCGTAGAAATATGTTCATATGTACATTATTTAGTCCAAAAAAAAAAAAATAATTAAATGGAAAAATAAAATTCTGTAATATAAAAATATGACAAAAATTATGATGGGTCAACAAGGCCTTCTCGTTAAATTAAATAACTATATAGAATCTTGTTGATGTCAACGTTTTTGTGGTTGATTTTCTTATTATTGCTGCTGCTAATGTTGGTGTTTTTGTTGTTATTGTTGGTGATATTGTCTGGTCTGACGTACAACTTGCCATTGACACACAATAAAAAAGAAAAATTATAATATAAAAACAAAAAAAAAAAAAAAAAAAGCATAGGCAGACAGAAATAAAGTGTGTAAAATGGAAAATGAGAAAACAAATTATCACACTTATAATACCATAAATACAAATCAAAGCAACAACTACAACAATATTAAAAAAAAGGCAATACAATGTAATAATGATCATTGAGAGTCCAAAAACACCAGCAATGAAATAAATACAAGAAAACAATAATTGAAAAAAGAGAAAATTGAATTACTAAAATAATGTGTTTAAACACCCTCAACAACTGGGGAGGTCATATAGAAAAAATATTAAACATTAAACGAGAAAAAAGCAACACAAAGCAAGAATTTATTAATAAATGTTTATAGAATTGTACTATTAAATGAGGTGCACAGACAGAAACAAGAAAAAAAAAAAAAAAAAACAAAAATAATAATAAAAAATAAATGTCATGGTACTGTTTATTTCTTTTTTTTATAGATTTTTGCATATATTTTGTTTAAATATAAATTTTATATAAAAATTTTTAAAATCCACCTGATGCAGATTTTTGTAAATTAAAATTTCTTTCGCTCTGCTATATAATGTTCATAACTGTACATTTTATGTATATGTATG